CGCCACGGCACAACAGACGCCGTCCTGCCCGTGGTATCACCGCATCAGCCGAGAAGTCCAAACCCGACCCGCCGACCGGCCCGACTACCAGATGCGGGATGGACTCCTGTACCGGCACATCCTCCACGACCTGGACTTCCGGGAGATGCCCGCCGACGAGCAGTGGAAGCGATGTGTGCCAACACCCGAGCGTGCCGCCCTGCTCAGACGATGGCACGACGACCCCGCATTCGGACACTTGGGGACCGCCAAAACTATGGCTCGCGTCGCCCAGCAATACTACTGGCCAGGAATGCTCCGGGAGATCGCACGGTACGTCCGCACCTGCGCAACCTGTATAGCCCACAAGGTGTCACAACAGCGACCCGCCGGGACCCTGCACACGACCCCGGTCACGGCGCCGTGGCAGCAGGTCGCCATCGACCTGGTCGGACCACTACCCCGCTCTAACCGCGGACACACATGGATCCTCACAATGCAGGACCGATTCACAAAGTGGCTCGAAGTCACGCCATTGCGGAAGGCCACTGCAGCAAATGTCGCCAGGGCCTTCACCGATCAGGTCGTGTACCGACATAGGTGCCCACAGCGGATAATCACGGACAATGGGACGCAATTGAAGTCCAAACAGCTAGGAAAGCTGCTGACCGCCTTCGGCATCCAACATCGCACCGCGCCGCCATACACGCCGCAGTGTAATCCGGTCGAGCGAGCCAACCGGACACTAAAGCCACCATGATCGCTCAATACGTGGGCCGGAGCCAGAAGACGTGGGATGAGCACATCACCGCCCTCCAATATGCCTTCAATACGGCCTGGAGCGAGGCCACGGGACACACTCCTGCCTACCTCAACCATGGCAGGGAGCTCGCTCGACCTCATCCGGAGGACCGACGACACCTAGCAAACCCAACGACCCCCGAGACGCACCGACGGTTGCAAGAGGCCTACGACCTCGTAAGGGTGAACTTGGCACGAGCCTTCCAACGTCAAGAACGACATTACAACCTGCGTCGTCGGGAATGGAAGCCAAAGGTCGGGGATTTGGTATGGAAGAGAAACCACGTCCTGTCCGACAAGGCTAAGGCATTCAACGCCAAGTTGGCCCCAAAATTCGTGGGGCCCTTGGAAGTCCGGAGGATCATCTCGCCGGTCATCGTCGACCTACGGGACACCCGCGGACGCTGGCACCGCCAGGTCCACGTACAGGACCTGAAGACGCACCCGGCCCCGATGCGCCAGGGAAACACCGACTGGTCGGGGGAATCACGGTTACCGACCGAGAATGTCCGCACAGGCGAAACACACGGACAACGGCCGAGGGCACCACCGACTTATCCGAGTGCCGAGGCAAGCACGCGAAAACAACGTACGCCGCGTCCCGAGGTAAGCACACGCAAACCACGTGCGCCGCATTCCGAGGCAAGCACGCGCAAACAAGGTGCGTCGCAAGCACGCGAAAACAACGTGCGCCGCGTCCCGAGGTAAGCACACGGAAACCACGTGCGCCGCATTCCGAGGCAAGCACGCGCAAA